GCACGGGCTGCGCGGGGCTCCCCGGGCGCCGCGGCTAGTGCGCCCACTGCGTCCCAGCCACCCTCACCGCCGGCCGCCTTGGGGGACGAGGAGCAGGACGCGGCCTCGGCGGGGCCCGGGCCGAACCGCCGCGGACCCCCGGGAGCCGGGGAGGCGAGCGCCGCGGTCTCCGGCATGGATCAGTGTGTGACGGTGGAGCGCGAGCTGGAGAAGGTGCTGCACAAGTTCTCGGGCTACGGGCAGCTGTGCGAGCGCGGCCTGGAGGAGCTCATCGACTACACCGGCGGCCTCAAGCACGAGATCCTGCAGAGCCACGGTAAGGGCGGCCGGGTGGGCGCGGGCGCCAGGGCCCGGCGCGACTGCTGCTGCTCCCCAGGCCCGGCTCGCTTTTCCTTCCCGCGCCGGGTTAACCGCGAGCCTGCGGCCACCTCGCGGTTCATTTCGAAGGAGCGCGAACCCACCCGGAGACGCACACGGCCCGGGGGGGGGTGGGGGGGCGTCCTCCGTGATATGCGGACCGCAGGTGTGCGGCTTGTGTGTGGGAATAGGAGGTCCGAGTGAGGAGGGGGTCAGAGCAGGATCCTCACCCCCAGTCCTTGGCCCCAGAGACTTTCTTCTGGGTCACTTTGGGGCTTGAAAATCGGATGTTCTTAGCAGTGGATCCACAGAACCGCGGCTCCTGCAGCTTCATGGATTGACTAATGGGGGGCAAGCAGCTCCCCTGAACCCCTCAAAAGCACTGACCCGATTCCGAGGAAACCGGCCGAATCTATCCGTTCGGCACTTCTAAGACTAAACAAGCAGTGGTGGCCCGAATTAGTGACTTGCCTCACCTGGTCCAGTTTGTGCTTGGTATTCCTTCAGAAAGCAGGTCTTCTGTAGAAAGTGTTTTTGCCTAGATTATTTCATAATTGCCCGAGGTCTTGGGGACAGAGTTAGCTTGAGGAAGCTGGTTGAGAAGGGGATTTGTTTTTCAAAAATAACATTAAAGGTCTGCTCCAATGAACTGTGGCTCCTGAACCAGAAGGCCTTTTAATTTAATGGATTCATTAAAAAACTGGGGCCTTGTCAATTTGTAGGCTGAACAGAAATTAATATAAAGGGATGCTTTTTAGCCAAAGAGAAATGCAGATGTTGTTGCAGGTGCGATGAAGGCAGTTTGGCTCAGCTTCTCTCCTTCTACACCTTCTTTTCCCAGACAGTTTCAGCTGAGGGTGACTGGTCCTTCATGGGAAGGGAGTCTTAGGACTTCTGGACAGAGCAGGCACATTGGAACTCTGGGGAAGAAGCAAGCTTGGAGCCATCGTAGTTGAAATATGATGGGAAATAAGTACTTAAACTGTAGGAAGGGTTGCAGTGTAAATAATATGGAAAAAGCAGGCGTTGATGGCTGTGTGGAAAAAGAAATTTGGTTGAGTTTGGTGATGATCTAGTGATACAAACTGGGAAGTAAGAGTTTGGAAAAGACTGGGGAATTTGAAGATAGAGCCAAGGTCTTGGGACACCTTGTTGGTCTAAGACTGGTGGGTATTTTGTGTGTGGTGTTTTGAGATGGGGTCTCACTAGGTAGCCCAGGCCAGCCTTGAACTTTGGATCTTCCCGTCTTCACCTTTCAAGTGCTGGGATTATAGGTGTGTCATCTGTTTTCTGATACTTTGAAGAGGGCAATGGAACCCTTCATAGGATGCGTAGACAGTGAAGACAAAAGACCTTAGGGTCTGAACACAACTAAGGTTCAACCAAGCAGAAATAGAAAGGGGGAAAGGAGTAAGGAATTAGAAAAAAGAGGCCCCTCATCTGTTACATGACCCTTTGTGCATGTATTACCGAGTTAAGACAAATCAGGTTATTGGGGTTAAGAAGAAAAATACACATACTAAAGTGGAAGGCAATCCAAGGTGGCTCTAGTTCAGTGCTTGAAGACACCCACTTCCCTCATTATCTTTTCACCCAAAGGAAGGAACTAGCAAGAGAAGAGAATGAATGAAGGGCCTAGACTTGGAGAGGCGGAAGGAGCATTTCCTTTTGGGGGCACTCGATCAGAGATTGAGGGGCTAGATGGGAAGGATTTGAGAGGGGCATTATGTTGAATCTTAAATATGGCCCTTTCAAAGGTTTATCTACTGAAAACTGAGTTTACGACTCCATTTTAAGGCTCTGAGTGTACCTGTCTGGGCAAGTCACCTGGTTGGCTTCTGTGATCTGAGATAGGGACTCCAGTTGTGCTCTGTTAGGGCTTTGGATCTTACTCTCTGAGCTTATTTGTGATAATATTCTTGAAAGAATGAGAATGAGTAAAGTAGAACCCTGGGGACTATAAACACTCCCCAAGATCCTACACAGAATCCTGGTATCATACTGGTTGATGACTTCCTGTTTCAAAATCATCCTTTACCTGTAGCAGGAAATGAGTTGAGTTTCAAAGAGAGAGGCAGTTTCTGGGGGGTTTAATGCAAGTGCAGTGAGATGCTTGAGGTAAAGGGGATAGTAGACAACTGTAGTTAATGAGCATAGTTAGAGAATTTGTGTTGGAAACTAGTTGTAGTCAACTGGAGTTTAGTTAATAAGCTCTGTTGACAAGCTCTTCCACTGTCTCAACCTTATTCCAGGTTGGAAACATTGCTCTAAGGGGGCTAGCCTGGCAGCTGGCCTGGAACTAGTCCTGCTGTGAGCCTAAATTACCTCTCTGTAACCCAGAATTATTTCATATAAAAAATTCTCTAATTAGTCATCTCTCTTTAAAATGCAAATTTCTTAGTGCATATACTTCAGGAGAGTGAGGGTACATAGACTGCTCACTCACATCTGGTAAATTACTTTATGCCACTTAATCTGTCACTAGTTCATCAGACTGGAAAACGTTGGGGTGGGTATTTTTAAAATGGTGGTGTCCAGCCTCTGGTAGAGGAATAAGTTAGAGTCTAAGACTGAAAGGGAAGTGCAGGCTTGGCTTTTGGGTTGTTCTAGGGCACTAGGGGTAATTAATGGGAGTGTGAAAGCACAGTAGAGAACTGGGCAGAACAGAAGGGAATTCCATTGAGCCAGGTCCCTTCCTCTTTGTGGAGTCTGACTCCAGAGGCTTCTGTTTGTGTCTTGGAACTGCTTTAGATAGGAGATGGAGGCAGTGGGGAGCATACCAGAGGCTGTAGTGGGTGCACTCATTTTTATTTATTTTATGTGTATGAGTGTATTGTCTGCACGTACGTAAGTGCACCCGTGTCGTGCAATGCCTGTGGAGGACAGGAGAGGCTGTCGGATCCCCTGGAACTGGAGTTACAGACAGTTGTTAGCGGTCATATGGGTGCTGGGATTCGAACCCGGTTCGTATGCAAGAACAACCAGTGCTCTTAACTGCTGAGCCATCTCTCCAGCCCTGGTACTATCATTTTCAACCTAATTTATCAGAAGTTCAAAATTGTATTGAAACTTGCTGCTTAGCCTTAATTATCTTGGTTGAACTTCAGTTTCTTTAATTCCCCATCTGAAGGGAAAGAGCACGCCTGTCATTTAGCTGTGTCTGCCTCTCAGTTTTGGTCTAGTGTAAGATCAGTGTGGTTGATGCTGGCTGGGGATCTTTTCCAGTATGTCCTTGATCTAATTTGGGTAATACATGTATGTACACTCATCCTCAGAAGGGCTTGTGATTTTACTTAAGGTGATTTATCTTCATTCGAGACACTGATATTTGTGAGGTCATGGATTTATAGATTTGGTCTTAGGTATAATAAACTATGTAATAAAAACAATTTAGCAGATTTAATACTAGTTCATGTACTAAATGAAGTCATTATTCACATCAGTGGTCTGGGAAGCACATCTTGGTTTTAGTGATTTGGCTTGTGTGATTATATGTTTTGTTTGTTTTTTAGGAAAATTTTAAAATTTCTTACTAGCATTTGTGTGTGTGTGTGTGTGTGTGTGTGTGTGTGTGTGTTAGAATGAGAACAAAAAGACTGAAACAATACGGCAGTCCCAATATGTTTAAAATATAGTTGGGAAAATTACAACTGTATGAATTAAGGGTATGCCACTTTTTTTTAATTTTAGATTGTTGTTAAAAGGAATTTTGCTGAACTAGGGATCAAACTCAGGACCTTCTGCATACTAGGCAAGCACTTACCACAGAGCTGTATTCCTAACCTTTAAAAGGAGTGCTGATGTGCTATCTGAAAATGACTCTAGAATTTTCTAAATTTAAATTTTATTTATCTTGAATATATAATACATGCAAGCAATTTGAATCCAGATAGTTTGAATGCAAATAATAAAGAGGATACCTGGGGATAAATTTCTATCACATTCTTCTTCCAGGACTACCTAGTTGCCAACTGACTGGTAAAGATGCCAATTTCCAGAAACTTTAAAAAGAATTTGGGGAATGGGACTTAGTGGTAGAGTGCTTGCCTAGCATGTGTGAGACCATTTTGATCCTGGGAAACTAAAAATAAAAATGTGTGTATGTTAATATTGTCACTTATTAAATGGCTTTAACTTTATAGTTACACTTACTGTGAATAGGCAAGCTGGTTAAAGACACCTTTGATTCCCACAGTTGAAGTGATAAACATATTAGCATCTTAAAACTCAGTTTTAAAAATTTGTTTATTTTTAGTTTATTTGTATGAGTATTTTGCCTACATGTATGTAAATGCACGGGTGTCATGCCGTGCCTGCAGAGGCCAGAAGAGGGCGATAGATTCCTTGGAACTTGGGTTATGGACAGTTGAACTTGAGTTATGGACAGTTGTTAGCCATCATGTTGGGAACCGAATCCCTGCTTTGTAAGAAAGGTCAGTGCTCTTAATCGCTGAGCTATCTCTCCAGCCCCAGATTCAGTTTTTGTGTGTATTGTGTAATAGTAAAACTCATTTAAACCATGACTCCTACCTTTGTTTATCTCCTAGCTGAAAATTTGGTTACTAGTGTCAGAGCTCTTTTTATTTTTAAGTTTGAGGGTGACAGATGTGAAGGTAATTGAGCAAGTGAGATAAAAATTATGGCAGTCACATTTTACACTCAATTCTGTGATACGCTATTATGTTAATAGACAGAAACCAGTGATTGAGGGTTGAGTATTTAGGCATAAGCTTCTATTGTAGAATTTGAATTGTACATGTTATAAACATGTACACATTTGTATAAGTGCTCTATGCTCACCGGAGCCTACTGGTGTCAGGCATGTGTTGTTGCATGCTAGTAAAGGATCAGAGTCTGGTAGGCTCATTCAGCCATATTCTTTAGTGAACTCAGAGTAGGCCATATAGCCAGGCCCTCTCTATTTGCTGAAACTCACTAGTAACTAGTAAGATACTCTTG